CACACACACACACACACATGGGCAGATCACACACACATACGCGCACGGACAAACACACACACACACACACACACACACACAGACAGACATAGGCACATACAGGCGTGCACAGACACGCACACACACAAAGCCACCCCCCCACCCACCCACACCCACCCACCCACACACACACACACACACACACACATAGTCGAGCGGGCACAGACACAGACACACATCATGTATACCGACTGCCCATCATCGCGCAGAGATTCTGACGCTGCATCCTTGTCTCACACAAGAGATTGTGAAGCACAGATTCTCATTCTCAAAGACTCACAGGTGAATCCCTGTCGACGATACTGATTGTTGCATAGTTTGGTAATCCCACACGCAAAGAGGAGCATACGGATGGAGCAAGCACCTCAACCATAGATACCATTCCACCCAACGCCAAGGATCTCAATCGTGATCTGAATGGATCATGAACCATTCTGGCATACAGCCAACCCTGTAGTTATCGTGCCATTCTCCTCTCTCTCTCTCTCTCTCTCTCTCTCTCTCTCTCTTAGCAACCTCCGCATGAGCCTCATTTTACTAGTTGCGAACACAAAGATAATGTTTCGTGTTACTCTGGTCATAAGTTTTAGATCTGAATGTTTCTCCGGTCTAGAATTTGGCAAGAATGGGGTCTTTTTCTGAGCCCATCAGGGGGAAAAGGGGGTGGAGCTGGTAGCTGGGAACGGAGGCTTTCGCTTGGATCAACTCAGGAGGAGAAAGCATGGAGACAACCTCGACATGGTGCCCAGCATGTGGAGGAGTTCAGAGGTCAAGGAGGAGGAGGAAGGGAAGCAAGGAGAGGAAGGGGAGCAAGGATAGGAAGGGGAGCAAGGAGAGATGGGGTCTTTTCCTGAGCCCATCAGGGGAAAAAGGGGTGGAGCTGGTAGTTGGGATCGGAGGCCATTGATTGGATCAACTCAGGAGGAGAAAGCACGGAGACTGGTGCCCAGGGTGTGGAGGAGTTCAGAGGTCAAGGAGGAGGAGGAAGGGGAGCAAGGAGAGGAAGGAGAGGGGGAAGAGGAAGGAGAGGAAGGAGAGGAAGGAGAGATGGTGGGGATACTAGCTGGGAGTGGACGTAAAGGTGGAGGGAATGATCGCGATCATCGGACGGCGGAGAAGAACGTACACGTGGCGATGGGAAATGCAGAGATGATTGTACTTAGGGGATTGTCGTAGAGTAGGACGATTTGGAAAGGAAGGTAAGGGGCGGGCGTCAGGGACGACCAGCTTTGTTCGTTCCGATGGTAAGCGAGGAGAGGAGTGGATGGAAGAAGGGGAGGAAGAGAAGGAGGAGGAAGAGGAGTGGATGGAAGAGGAGGAGAAGGAAGAGGAGGAGGAAGAAAGCAGGTGGTCCAGGTCTGGAAACTGACCACTGCGAGCAGGAAGAAAATGAGAGGAGGAGAGCAGATCAGGGTAGAAGACGGGGGATAGACGAGATCTCGACCCGAATCGGACATAGGCGTATCAAGGAGAAGAGGAGAAGAGGAGGAGACAGTGCAGGAGGAGGAGAATAGCATAGCATCTCTTCATTTCTTTTTTTTCTTTTTCCCCGCTTATATTTAGGCTTCGCTTTTTTTTTTTTTTTTTTTTTTTCCCCCCCTAATCCATCATATCATTGAATAACAACAAGAAGAGGCCGGGGACCTCACAATTCAACCCGGGATATCTGACAGCATCAGCCAGCTTAGCTTACAGGCTAGAGCCTGCGGGACTCACCTCTGTCAGTCCCAACTCCTATTGTAGGGCTATTCTTTGACTCAGCAACTTACTGAAGCTGGAGATAGCCTAAGTCTGGGACTAACACGGCCCAGAGGACAGAGTCCGGGTCCTACCCAGGCACTCCCCTAGCTTATATTTAGGATTCGTTTTCCTTTTCCGCATTTCAGTAACTACCAAACGGAGGATGGCATCTCTCTCCCTCACACTTAAACACTATAGCATATGAACGTGCAGCTCTTTCTCCGTTCTGTCTGTCGTCAATCACGATTACGGTGATAGTGCCCACTCTATTGCATCTACCTTGACAGCTCTCTCTCTCTCTCTCTCTCTCTCTCTCTCTCTCTCTCTCTCTCTCTCTCTCTCTCTCTCTCTCTCTCTCTCTCTC